TTTTTTTTATAATTTTTAAAAAATAAGTCGATTAGGCACTATTTGCTGTATGTAATTATATCCTCCTAAATTTGTGATGTCCCTCTTGCAATCCGCACGCGTGTGTATCATGCGGTTGCATGTGCTGATAAGTGACAAACAAATTGAGAATAAAAATTTTCATGGTTCAAGTAGCTAGCAGACATCATAATGTTGTTTCCACACACATTTTAAATTATTACTACTGTTATTGCCGATATAATGCGGTGTCGATGCTATGTAAGTAACAAAACTCCAAAAACTACTCCCTTAAATTCATTTGATAATTTTAGGTTCCATCAATCGAGACAAAAAGCTCGATCGGTTGTTGCTAGTTTTAATTAATTAACTAAACCTCCGTTTGTGCCATTACATTCTTCATTTGGACTTATTATGTACGCTTGTTTTTGTATTCCGTAAAGTAGTCCTTGTAACTTAATTATCTAATATTTCTTAATTATACGACAAGAAACTGAGGGTCACTTCATCTCCGTGATGACTTCAAGAGTTCAACGCTATTTGAATAGCTTAGCTATCTCTTGAATTGTTTAATTATAAGCCAAGTGGAGTTGTGTCAGCGTTACTTGTTTGCTGTGTCATCCTAACATATATACTTATTGTTAAGGCTTTTTCCTATTTTGGTGGGGGTGGGGGGGTGTCTTTTTATTAAGACATCGGTTCAATGAGGGATGGCAACAGTCTTGCGAGGCAAGGACCCCCTTCCCATCTTTGTCTTTGTTAGGTATGAAGATTTGTTGTTTCTCGAATACTCTTCTTCATCTCCACATTATGTTATTGTTGCGTCTCGATCACAAGATCAAATAAAATAATAATTAGTGAATTTATCAAAAAATATCAATAAGAAAATATCACCATAATAAACGTGAAAAATTTACTTTAAGGCGATTCACACTTTTCACTTACTTTAAGACGATTCACACTTTTCACTTACTTTAAAGTGATTCACGCTTTTCACTTACTTTAAAGTGACTCACGCTTTTCACTTACTTTAACGCAATTCATGTCTCTGAGAAGAGTAGATTAACGGATGCAGTAGAGATATATTTAGCATGTTACCTCATGATGCTACAACTGTATAATAACCCTCTACAACTCTGCACTATTCATAAAGTCACCTAACTCAAAACACTTTTTTTTACCCAAAAGTATTTAAAAGATAAAGTAAGGTCAGAAAATAGAAGAATGTGAAGGAACTTCCTACTTTTTAAGCAAAAAGACATGTTTTGTTTATAGAACTCATAGTCTTATAATTCTCATTTATAGGTTAATGATAGGAATAAATTGAACAATTATTATGTAATAATGTGCCCTTAAGTAAGATACTTAACTTACAACGGCTAATTTGATGAAGTCCTTAATGAAATAATAAATTTAATTTATAAAATATATTATTTTATGTTTTACTAAAATATTTAAGTTCAAACAAGATTCTCAGAGAGACTTTTGATAGGACGTAAAAAGTACTTTCTGTTTATATTCTTGTGGAAAGTGGCAAGTTTTCATGGTTACACAAATTCTCTATCAAATATTGAAATCGTAAAATTTATCTTTTTTATAAATAAATTTTATAACATTACATAAAAAATAGTCCATAAAGTATGAAAATAAAAACTTGTAGAAGTAAAAAGCATGCTAAAAATTTCATAAAACACCATAAAAAGTACTATATTAAGAAATTTTAAAAAAAAAAAAGTTAGAAATTTGAAATAAGCAAATGTATATAGTCTAATAAATTCATAAAAAAAATAGCATAAAAATAGTAAAAATTTGAAACAGACGGAGCTTTATGTTATAATTTATAAAAATATAAATTTAGATTGGGTTGGGTAAAAATTAATTGGGTTTTATATTTTTGTATATATATTATAATTTATAAAAATATAAATTTATATTTTTTATTATACATGGATCCCACAAGGACGAGTGGGGTGGAGAAAATTCCTTACAAAATTTTGTAAGGGAAAAATTTGCCTCTATCTTCACACAACGAGATAGAATATTCTCTAAATTTCTATTATTACGATAGGGATCTGCACGATACTTTGCTAGCTTCAGAACAAATTGCCATCTCTTGATTCATTGGTTAAGAATTTGACTAAGTTTTGAAAATTAAGTTCGAGTTTTGAATATATATATATATAT